ATTTTCATCTAAAAAGAAAGAGAATATATGTAAATATTTACATTACAGATAATAATAAATACTATTAATAAAAGAGCACCACACGTGCCTCTGACCTGAGCATCAGGGTTAAAAAAAAAAAAAAAAAAAAGTGTAACATTAGCAAAGCTTTCTGAGAAAAGGGATACAAGGCACTTAAATCCCTAGAAGAAAAGGTTCTTCCTACAACTATTGAAGAGATTTTTATAGCATTAAATATTCAACTTCCTAAAAAGTAAGAGGCTGCATTATAGCTACATCTATAAAATTTGGTGTTGGCATACCCAATCTATGTGGGGAAACAATACTACTTTAGAACTGGCAATAGGAAAAATTATTGAACACTAAATGAAAAAAGTCTAATAATTTTAGATAAATTACAAAAAAAACAAGAAAGTACTTAAACTTGTTAAATTCATAAATAGTAGATGTTTTACTTGTATATAATGTAAAATTCTATAATATTTAATTTTAATAAAAAGAATGCCAATTCGCATATAAAAAAAAAAAAAAGCTTAAAAACAAATGAACAATTGAAAACACTCTTTTTGGTTTGGCTTTTCATATATCATATTTGTTGACCTTCTTTATCTATTTTGTTTTTTTTACTCAAAAGTGGGAAAATTGGCTCCCTTTTACAAAAGATTGGCATTGTTTACTACTTCCTTTTTTCAAACAGTTACATGTTGTGATATGATGTAATAGGAACACAACAATCATGTGCATGGCCTAACATATGGTGTAATGAAGAAACAAAGAAGGATTTAAGTTGAAAAATTATAGCAAATAAAGATATATAGAAATTTCTAAAATCATGTATATAACATTTTTATCTCTTTAGTACAGATTAAAGTGTAGTTAGATCCTTAGCACAGGTTTAAAGTACTAGTGATCTAAATGGTCATGAATAAGGTGTGCTCTCTAACACTTTTTTTCTTTTTCTTTTTTCTTTCTGTATCTTTTTTTAGTTTAGTTTAGTGTTTTTTTTCTTTTTTCACTTCTTTATGAGAAAGTGTTATCAGATTGGTAATACTCTATTTTAAAGCAGTGGTTGGATGAGCCTCCTAGATTCCCTTTTTCTTTAAGAAATTAGGCAATTGGTGTGGCAGATCGCTTATAAATGCTTATAGAAGTAACTGTAGAATGTCAACTTAGTACATTAAGTTTAAAAATGTTTGTTAGGAAAAACTCTTTCTGGTTCATTTCTGGAAATTAAGCAAAAAAACCAAAATTTCAACAAAAATCAATATATTTTCATTTCAGAACTCTTATGGGGCAAGGATCCTTATTCTAAAGAAATGCAAAACAAAGTCTTTAAACATGAACAAAGCTTAATACAAAAAGCTCAGGCTTGACACAACAGTAGAAAAAACCAAAAACTGAAAATAGTGAGCAAGAAATTCAAAAAGCAAGAAAAAATAGCAACAACTTTATTCAGGAAACCAACAATATCACAGTTAACTATGCAATAAAAGGCACAGCTTGCTAGGCCAGTCAAGTAGAAGAAAATGAGTTTCTTGAACCAAATAAAAAAAACATTAGCTTTTTAGACCAAAATGAAGCATGTAATAGTGCCAAAAAGTCAACAAACCTACTTCAAGTAAACAACAAACAACAATGAAATCACATGCCTTCTGATGATAATCTTAGACATGTGTCTGACAGCAACACATCAGTATACACACAAGTCAATGAAATTAATGTCCAACCTCAGCAGAGTGCCACAAACAATATGGCAACAACCTACAATAAGAAAGTCAACAACACAGAAGCTATTACTACAAAAAACACCAAATCTAAACAATGGTCAGACCTTTTTGCAAAGCTTAAAGGAGGAAAAGCAATCTATACAAACTCCACCTCTAGACAAAGAATCATTCCAAAAACAACAATGCTCTAATCTTAGATATACAAAGTCTTAACAATATTATAACTAATGATATCATTACAGCCTTAGCTTTAAGTATCAGAGAAGACTTTCTAGCAGCCAAAATATATATGTCCAGAGGAAAAAGAGCTTTTCTAGAAGTAGTTTTCAAAAACAATGAAAAAGTTCAACTTTATGCTGCAGAAGGAATTACACTCTTCAAGCAGTCACTTTTTGGATACATTTCAATCAACCTTAATCATACCTTTCTTATAGTAAAATGAGAAACATGCCTTTAGATGAATCTAAGCATATCAGTAACCAAATTATAGAAGCCTTTCAAGATGTAGGGCAAATATCATCAGTCAAACCTCTCCTCTTCGAAGAGACCAATATCTGCTCAGATTAATGATTAATTACATTTGAAACTACAGAAGACCCAGATGTAGCTAAAAGAATTTCAAGAAATATATATATTAACTATTACAAAGTTACCACTGAATGGAAGGAAGCTCCTAAGGTCTGCTACTATTGTGACAAAGAAGGTCATATTAAAAGGGATTGTGAAAAACTCAAAATCTTAATAGAAAGGAGATGTCTTCTTAAAGAAGCTAAAGAGCAAAGAGAAAAGGCCAAAAAACAAAAACTTGCAACACCAGAACTGAAGTTCTATGCAGACAACCCATATATCAATAACTTAGTAGAATGGGCTAAAATAGAAAGACCTATAGAGAAATTAAATTTTTCACAACTCCAAACCTTTAATGAACATATGATCTTGGACAACTTATCTCAAGACTTTAACAAAACTGCAACTTTCTCAACTGACATGCATGATGAATCTTCAACCAAGGACCAATCCTTTGATTCAACCAAGTGTGAGGCAAATGCTAACTTAACCTCCAATCCAATTGCTATGAACACATCTTTAGAGTCAGATGAAGCAGAATTTACACTAGTTACCTCTAAAAATAAAAGAAATAAGGGCAAAAAGAAGAATTAGGACAGAACAGCTGGTCCAAGCAAAAGCAATGAGTTCCTTCAGCAAGGCAGCTCCAAGTTAGATCACCCCTACTAAGAACCAACACACTTAGTGTAGCTATAAATACAAACTTTATTCTCATGATCAAAATCACTACACTGAATATTAAAGGGCTAAACAACAAAGCCAAAGCACAAAAAACATTTATTTTACTTAAGTCATACAACTTAGATATAATTACGATTCAAGAAACCAACCTCAAAGACAAAGCTACAAGAAACTTTCTTTTACAACAATGAGGACTTGACTCCTTTTGGTCTCTAAAACAGCAATTCTAGCTGGCAAAAAGAGCATCAAACTTTCCAACCTTAAAGAATCTTTCAATAAAAGAGTAATTTCTGCTAATGTAGAAATAAAGCAACAATTATTTACAATTATAAATGTATATGCACCACCTAACTCTAAGAAAAGAGTACTTTCCTTAGGAAATGGACCCCAAGTTTAGAAAATACAAGTATCAACATTATTGCTGAAGACTTCAACACAAACATACATCCTAATAAGGATAAATAAGTCAAGCTGCTGTTCAAAATGATTGCTCAAGGGAACTTCTTGAGAATCTAATGTCAGAATATACTAATACAGAAATAACAACATCAGAAAATCTCTTTTTAACCTTTTACCAAACAACACATGAAAACCAAAAAATGCCCATCTGTCTAGACTATATATTTATAGACTCTAACTATAGTCACCTTTGCCAAAACACTTGCACTCATTTTGGCAACTCAGACCATCTTCTAGTTGAAAGCGAACTTAGTTTTAAAACCTCCTGTAACTATAAATCCTTTTGGAAATTTAGCAGAAAATACTGAAAAATTCCAGAAATCAAGACAGACATTCTCAACAAACTTCAAGAAACTAAAGATACCTCTAACTAGGATTTATACAAGTGCATAGTACTGTCAATAATCAGAGCCTATAGATCTCCACCTTCTCCTAAGAGAAACATCCAAAGAATTCATAAAAAATTATGCAATATAAACAACAAAGTGGCCAAAAACTCCAATCTGGAAGAGCTTAAACTAATAGCAGAAGACTTAAACTTAAAATTAAAATTCTTTCCAGTTCACTACTGAAAAATAGCAAAAATACAAAATTTTACAAAAAAACAACATAACTTTTTTTATAAACTCTAAAGACTATAAGGCAAAAGCCCTTACTTCTCGAAAAAGAAAGCTTGGCTTGTTAAATATAGGCAAGCCACAACAAAAGAAAGCTAAGTTATCAAGTCTGAAAGAAAAAACTTTTGTGCTTTTGCCAGAAACTGAAGATGATGCAAAGACAACAAAATTTTTAGAGACATCTAACAGTGCTGAAGTGAACCAAGATATGAACATCCAGACAAGTTGTTCTACTGACAACACTTTTTTTAGCTAGGCCAACATTACAGAAAAAAAACTACAAGGCAGTGAAATATGGGAAGATATCCTCTTAGAACAAACAAAAGCTTGCATCACAACAACTGAAGAAACAAACAATATACATCAAAACAACAATGATACAGCTGACGAACATGTGTCTAACCAAAGCAGTCAATCAGAGGACAACAATCAGAGTACTGATCCATTCTCTCAGACCACCATGACTAAGATACTGCCCTCTGGTCCAATGCCATTAGCAAAAAATAGCTCTGTATGCTTGAATAAGCCATTACAATGGTCCAACCTGTTCCCTAAACTTAAGGGAGGAAAAGCAGTTTTTTTCAAATCAACTACAAGACATAGAATTCATACCAAAAATGATAATGCGCTTATTTTAGACATACAAAGCCTAATCAACATTAACACCAATGATATCATTGCTGCTCTTGCTGCCAAAATAGGAGAAGACCTAATCGCAGCAAAAGTTTACACAACAAGAGGAAAAAGAACTTATTTGGAAGTTATTTTAAAGAACAAAAAAAAACTTCAACAATATGCCTCTGAAGGCATTCTATTATTTAAACAAACCCTCTTTGGATATATACCAGTCAATATCAGATGATCTTTCCTTACAATCAAACTTTGCAGAACTTCATTGGAAGACTCAAAATCAATCAGAAACCTTATTCTGAAGGCCTTTAAGGAGGTGGGACAAGTTGTCTCTATTAAATCTCTTTTCTATAAAGAAACCACAGTCTGTTCAGACCAGTGGCTAGTTACGTTTGAAATAACAGAAGACTCTGAGCTTGCTACTAGACTTCTTAGAAGTACTTACATCGATGACCACAAGGTAACTATAGACTGGAAAAAGCCCCCAAGGTCTGTTTTATTGCGAAAAAGAGGGGCATATTAAGAAGGACTGTGAAGAACTTAAAGCCTCTATTCAGATCAGACAAGAACTTAAAGAGGCTAGGGCACAACTCAAAAGGACACCAACATTAAAATCATCTGTTATAGACAAAGGGTTCAGCGAAGACAACCCCTATATCGATATAAGCTCAAAAGAATCTTGCACAAACTCAGCACTAAAAGACATCATTACTAAAGAAGATTCATTCAAAAACTCCATCTTAGAACCCAACATATCTGATTTCAGCAGCTCTAGTACAACCAGTACTATGGACCTAGAGCTATCCTTAGACAATTCTTTTGTTACTACTCATTCTGCAATAATATAAACAGTCCCTAAACTTTGAATCAAGAAACAGACAACACACCATTTACCACAGTAATTTTCAGAAAACAAAAACTAAAGAACAAGAAGAAAGGTCAGGCCGATGGCTTTCATTCATACTGAGAAACAGAAGGTTTATAGCAAAGTGGACCAACAAAGAAAAACTTTTTTAAAAAAAGGAAAATCAAGTGTAGCACAACAATCTTTTATTTTATTTCATGACTAAAATTACTATACTTAATGTTAAAGGCCTTAATAACAGGCCTAAAGCACAAAAAACCCTTACCAAAAATATACTTATAAAAAAAATAAAACTCTTTCTGGTTCACAACTGAAAATATAGCAAATACAAAATTTTGTTACAAAAACTAAAAGTTACTTTTCAAAACTTAAGTGGAGTAAAGACTTTTACTCCAAAAAAGCACAAACTATTTGTAAATATGAACAAGTTACAATACAAGAAAGTCAGACTCGATACAGTTAAAGAAAGAACCTTTAGCTTCACTGAAAACAAAGAAAACAAAGAAAATAAAGGAAACTTCATAGCAACAAAAGTAAGCAACATCCCAAGAGTCAAAAACAGAACTGAAGCCTTTACTAGCTTAGCAATATAAGGAGCTCCTACAAACTGGGCTTCACACATAGAGGAGGAGCTAGAAGCTGAAAAAAAGAAAAATCAAAGCTCTTCAGAAAAGGCAGAAACACACTTTAACCAAACTAACCAAACTAGAATAACTAATGGTCAACAGGATGTAAACAACAACCAAAAGGTAACAAATGCTTTGGAAAACAACAAACAACACAAAGTTGAAGAAGACAAAAAATATGTACAAAACATAACAAGCAACAACAACAAAAAACACGTACAACATGTGTTGGAAGACAGAAATCAAGCACAACAGCCTCTGGCTACATAAAAACAAACAAAGTAGAACCCGACGATAAAGGGGTAAGGCCAAAGCAGTAGTCTGATCTGTTTTCTAAACTAAAAGGTGGAAAAGCCACCTTTGCAAATCACTTACCAAGACAAAAAATATACTCTAAGAATAAGAATACTCTAATCATCAATATACAAAGCTTAAGCAACATCTCCAACAATGATATAATTTCAGCTCTTGCTTCAAGCTTGGGTGAAGGCAAAAGAACATCACTCGAAGTGGTGCTCAAGAACAAAGAGAAAGTACAATTCTACACTGCTGAAGGAATTGTGCTTTTTAAACAGACCCTACTAGGACACATTTCAGTAAACTTGAACTGATCCTTTTTGACTGTAAAGCTTAGAAACATGCCAATAGGAAATATAAAATCAATTAGCAATGAGGTTCTAGAAGCTTTTCAATTGAACAAATAGCTTCAATTAAACCATTATTTTTTGAAGAAACAACAGTTTGTTCAGACCAATAGCTAATCACTTTTGAGACTACAGATGACCCAGAGCTGTTCACAAGAATTCTAAGAAGTACACATATTAATAACCATAAGGTCACCACTGACTGGAAGGAAGCCCCAAAAATTTGCTTCTATTGCAAAAGAGAAGGGCATATTAAAAGAGATTGCACAGAGCTTAAAGCCTCAATTGAAGCTAGAAGAATGCTTAAGGAAGCAAAAAAATTAAGAGAACAGGCAAGAGCTCAAAACCCAAGTACATCTGCAACAACAGAATTCAGCAAAGACAACCCATATATTGGCAAAAACACAGAAGAAGAACAAGAAAAGAACCTTAATACAGAAGCCACAAGCATGAACACAGAAGACCTAGAAATGTCCATATCAGATAGAGAGGTGGAACCAACAGATAGCCTTAGCAATGCCAAGTTTATCATTGAGAATATGAAAATAGACCTATCTAACAAAACAAACAGCCCAGAACAAAGTTAAGACATGGATGAAGATGCATCATTTACTCTCATCACTCATAGAAAGCAAAAAACAAAAAGCAAAAGAAAAGACCAAATAAAAGCTGACCATCCTTATAGAAATATAAACAGTCCCTCATGGGAATGTCTACTACACAGGAACTAACCCCTTCAACCAACATTTATTAATGATTAAAATCAGAACATTAAATGTCAAAGGATTAAATGACAAATGAAAGGCTCAAAAAACATTTACACTTTTAAAGACACACAAATTAG